TGGTAGTCCGGGGGGGGGGCTGCCAGCAGTCTGGGGGAGGGGTCCCTGCAGCCCGGGTGGAGGGTACCTGCAGGTCGGGGAAGGGGTGCCTCGGGGAGGGGGTCTTTGCAGTCCGGGGGGGAGGTACTTGTAGCTCGGGGGCCCAGAACGACTGAGGGACGCGGGGCATCGATGGAGATCTGGGTGCCTGGGCCCGCAGGGGCGAGAGCTTCCCGAGGGCCCCGGACCCCTCCCCCAGGGCGGGCGCCTCGTGCCGAGTCTTCCCTTGGTTGTCTTCGACCCCTGCGATGGTCCCGGGGCCCGATCACGCGCCCTGGAGGCTGACAGCCAGGGAAAAGCGCCGGGCTGAAAACATTCGAGATCTCCTCGGGCCTCGTCGTCGTCATCGCCGTCGTCGTCGTCGTCCTCCTCCTCCTCCTCCTCCTCCTCCTTCTCCTTCTCCTCCTCCCCTCCCCCCGGGGCCCGAGGACCTGGGACCCATCCCCTCTGGGGGGGGGGCCCGTGGGCCCTCAGCCCGCGATGATATATCCCCCCGCGGGGGGCCCCCCCGGCGGGGGCTCCTCCCGCGCGCCTCCCTCCCTTGCGCGCGCGCGGCGCGCGCCGCGGGAGGCCCGCGCGCTGTGGCCGCTGACCGAGGCGGCGGGGAGCTGGTGGGTGTCGGTGCGCGTGGACCAGCTGAAGGAGGGGCGCGAACGCGCCAGCGGTGTGTCAGCTGACGCCGGCGTTCACTTGTCCCTATCCTTAAGATTGGCACGCCAAAAGGCGATGACAGTCTTAGGGGTGCGCCCTGAGAAACTGAGGGAATCCCTAAGATTGGCATTGTGATGAGGCGATGCCCAGCTCAGGGATAGGGATATGTTCCAGGCTGGTAAGGTGTAGGAAGACCGGTTGAAGGAAAGCGTGGCTCGTGGCCAAGCCGACTGCAGGAACGCGCGGTTCGTGTTTGTTTGTGTTTTCCTGCACGGCGCCGTGTCGCTTTCGCTCGAAACAGGTCGCGCATTCGACATACAGGAAACGGTGGTTCGTGATTTCCTGCTTTCTGTCCTTCGTGGGCTCGGTGCCACAGGACCAGATTTGAGGGGCCTGTTTTCCACCACCACCACCACCACCACCACCACCACCACCACCACCACCACCACCACCACCACCATAACTACATTGTGGACGGGGGAAGGGGTCCTCCTCCCCCTCTTCTTCTTCCTCCTCCTCTCACCACCGACCAAACCACCCCAACCCAAGCCGAAGGCCTCAATTTGCCCTCCATTTCCAGCAGGGGGGGGTCGGGGGACGTTGAAAAAACGCATATGGAACCCGTAACCCCCCAACCCGAAATTCGGGTCTTCGGGCTGGGCTGGGGTGGTCAGGTAGGTGTTGTCATCCTCATCCTCCCTGTCCTTTCCCCCCTCCAGGTGGTGGTGGTGGTGGTGGTGGTGGTGGTGGTGGTGGTGGTGGTGGTGGAATGCAGGCCCATCAAGATCCCCAACCGCACCGTCCACCAAGGCACGCCGTCCGCGTGGCCTCGGGAGGGCCCCTCCTCCGAGGAGGGCCCCGACCGGGAGGAGAACACACACCCAGGCACAATGGATCGTCGATTCCGCAGAAAATCTGGGAAAATATGGGAAGTGGGGGGGGAGACAACCCCCCAAAAATATTAGAAAATACGGGGGATCCTGTTATTTGTGTGTATGTATTCGTGTGTCCCAGGGCCCCTTCACCAGACCCCTCTCTCGAGACATGGCAAAATGTAGCCGAGAGGTTTTTCGTAATTTTCGGCTTCTGGGGACCCTTGCCCGGGCCTCGGGTTAACTCGGGCCTGTCCGTTTATAGGGGGAAACATTCAAGAATAATAGGAAATGCTCAGGGGCGATGTTTTGAACATTGTTTGACTTTAGTTTGGGGTATTTTTGGTGTATTTTTTTTTCCGCCCAAAGCCCGCCTGCAGAAGGACATACCCGACTTCAGCCTCGCGGCCGTCACAAAACAGGTCAGGATGAAAAACCGGTCCCGAGGAATGGGTCGAGACCTACGGGGGTCGACATGCTGACAAAAAGTCACGACGTCGGGGGTCTTGGCCCTTCGGCGCGTTTTCCCCTCTGTGGGCCTCCCGGGAGCTCCCCCCGTCGCCATCGCTGGATTCGCCTCGAACTCCCGCCGGGGAGGAGCGTTAAGTCGGGCTTGTCCCTCTACAAGGGGAGTATCCAAAAATAGTAAAAAAATAGTCTGGTGACGACTTTCCCATCATTTTCCGACCATTTGGGGGTATTCTTTGACTATTTTCTATTACTCTTCCAAAAACCCCCTGTAGGGGGACATGCCCGGCCTGAGAGTAGCCTTGCCAGTACCTTTTGGGAGAGTCCCCTCCCCAGGTGTGGGCGACGAAATCTCTACACAGCCACTAATTACCCCCTGGCCGGGCCCTTCCGAGGCCCAGGGGCTGCGCATACGCGCGTCTGGCCAAGCCAGGAGGGCGCGGCGTATGCACCGCTGCTGGGTTCAGGATGGGCCTGGTCAGGGAGCAGGGGATATGCATCGATTTCGTCGCCCTGCAGACCCCCGCGAGCAACGAAAACATGACGGAGGGTTGTTCCCCACATCCTTGGTGGGGTTCTTGCTTTCTTTCAACCCGCGTCGCACCCGCGTCTCACTCACCTCCTCCTCCTCCTCCTCCTCCTCCTCCTCCTCCTCCTCCTTCCTCCCTCACCCACGCGCAACACATGCACGGCATGTACATGAGACACGCGTGTACATTCAGCCCCTCGCTTGCACACACATTCTCATACACATACACCATATAACGCCAGTGCACGCCTGGCGTGTTCACTGCATCATACACCCAAGACGTATGCACAACCAGGCTCGCAGGGCGTGGCAGGCGTTGCATTCCCTCGGCACCACAGGGGGTGCGCTGGGGAACGCTCCCTATCCGTTGCAGGCGCGCAGGGCGTGGCAGGCGCGGCACTTCCTCGACACCACAGGGGGTGCGCTGGGGGTGGTCTCCCTATCCGTTGCAGGCGCGCAGGGCGTGGCAGGCGTGGCATTTCCTCGACACCACAGTGGGTGCGCTGGGGGTGATCTCCCCATCCGTTGCAGGCGCGCAGGGCGTGGCAAGCTTGGCCTCTGGACACCACAGGGGGTGCGCTGGGGGTGGTCTCCCGATCCGTTACAGGCGCGCAGGGCGTGGCAGGCGTGGCACTTCCTCGACATCATCGCAGGGGCTGCGATGGGGGGCTCGCAGGGTGTGGCAGGCGTGGCATTGCGCATAGATGGTAATGCTAAGCAAACACATAAGACTGACATTAAGTATGTGGGGTTCCCCGTTAGCGTCATTCGCAAGGTTCGTCGGGGGGGCCGTTCACAGGCCTCGGGGCGGTCGAACAATGGTGCAGGATGAAGAACTGGTCCCAGGGAATGGGTCGAGACCTTCGTGCGGGTGGTACAGTCGGGGCCTTGAAGAAGGAACCCTTTTCGTTGGGGAGGGGCTCCGCGTTCCTTAAGTGTTTCGCAGCTTGCCTCAGGCTTTCCTTAGGTTTTCGATACGAAATGAAAGTTCAACTTATGGAAAATAGGGGCCTCGTTCCTTATTTAGGGTTCCTTAGGTCAAGGCCCCGACTGTAGGTAATGGGGGGTGACCCAAGTGAAGGCTGAAGAAAAGGGCTCCAAAAGGGGCCCTCGGGGGCCCCTTTGGGAGCGGGGGCCCAAAGAGGGCGCTAAAGGGCCCCATTCCGGCTGCTTCTCTTCACCCCCAGTTCGGGTCCCCCGCCCGTGGCCACCCGCCCGAGACCTCGATGGGGCTGTGGAGGACGACCATGGCGAGGAAGCACGTTGCCGAATCATTCCCAGGTGTCTAAAACATGTGGAAAAAAACGCATGTCTTAAACATGGAGACGCATGTTTAAAACATGCTTAGAACATGTTCCCGACATCTTAAGCACATGCTGAGTTCGATGGTAGGACTGTTACAGTGCCGTTTTTATACATGCTCCGCGTGCGGATCATGTATTAAACGGCAGGGCTTAGTATCAGAAGCAACGAGGAGTTCAGGCATAAATCTATTCATGAATTAACCATGTATAGAAATCAAATATCTTAAAACATCTGATGTACTAAAAACTGCCCTGTAAGGTGTCCATTGTCGTGGCATGCGCAGCGAAGGGGCCGACGGCATGACAAGACCACGATGACGGGGGCCTGGGCCCGCCCGGCGTCGCGCTCGCGGGGCAGGCCGGAGATCCCGGCGTCGCCATTCTGTTCACGCCCGGCGCGGGCGCCCTCGGGCCCCGTCAGGCCCCAGATAAGCCAGGACACGCAAATAAACCAGGACACGTAGACCCAAGGAGGCGATGCCAGGACACGTAAACCCAAGGACACGTAAGCCAGGATAAGCCCAAGTAAGCGATACCAGGACACGTGAATAAACCAGGGCACGTAAACCCAAGGACACGTGAACCAGGACACGTAAACCCAAGGAAGCGATACCAGGACACGTAAACCCCAAGGAAACGTAAAACGGGAGACCAGGACACAGACAAACCAGGGCACGTAAACCCAAGGAGGCGATACCGTTTCCCGCAAAGTCAGATGTTTCAGCACCCGTGCATTTTTTTTGCCTGCTGCATTGCAAGATTCGGGTTTGTGTTCGGGTTTTTTTGGGGGGGCCTTGCAGGCCTTGAGGGTCTGTGCCCGGGCTTGTTTTGGAAAGGCTGCAGTGCAGTCTTTTGTTCGTGCTGCCGTCTGGAGACCTTGGTCTCGAGGGATGTTGGGCGTCCGGGTCCGGCGTGTCCGAGCTCACAGGGGCCCCGCCCCTGGGAGCCTCGCAGGCCGGCCCGTCTCGAGAACCCGCGCGGGAAGGCATCGAGACGACCAGGTCGTCGGACGCTGAGGTGGGGGTCCGTAGGCGACCTCTTCGGGCCCCTCGCGGCTGGCCGCAGCCGAGGGGGAACCCGTGGGCTCGGCGGGAGCTCTGGGAGCCAGCGGAGGGGCCACTCGAAATTGGCGCCCGCCCCGGTCGCTTCCTTTGCGCCCCCCGCCCCCCCGCCCCCCGGCAGCTCGGACCGACGAGCCGCGCCGTCGAAGGGGGTAGGGACCACGGCGGTTCCTGCTGGCCCCCTCCGGCGGCGCGCAGCAGGGAGGCGAGGCGGGAGGGGCGGCTGTGGTTTCCACGGCATGTTCTTGCAATATTTCTGGCGGAGTCTGTCTTGTTTCATCAAAACGGTTGTTTGTTCTAAAAACATTGTTTCTGCTCTTAGACAGAACACTTAGTGGTAGGACTATCGGAATGCCGGGACGGTCGGCCCCTGCTAGAAAAGAACTGCACAAAAATAAGCTGTTGGCGTTCCGCGCGGATTTATTGGATCCGCGCTGGGCCCCCCTTGGCGGCGCCTCCAGCACCGCCCCTGGCGCGCTCCGCGCGCCAGGGAGGGGGGCCAGCGCAGGTCCAGGAAATCCGCGCGGAGCGCCAACAGTTTATGGTTATGCCGTTTTTTCTTCTCATACCTTTTGGCTTCACGGGAGGGGTCAGAGCCCAGGTTCAGGCGATTGCAAACATGGATCGAGGGGGCGTGGATCCGCGACGGGTCCAGCTTCCATGGGAGATCGCGGACTTCCGCCGCCACACGAGGCGGCACAGGCCGCGTTTTCAGGAGGGCACCTGCCAAGATCCATGGATGTGGCGACCGCTTGCCAAATCCACGGGTCGCTCATCCATGCTTGCGCGCCCCCGACAGGTGCAGGTGGGCGACGCCAGACACCGGGGCCGTCTTCGCCGACGTATTGGCGCGCGTAGGCTGCCCGCGTAAGGGTCGCGCGTGAGCGCCCCCCGTCTCCACAGTGACGTGCTGCGGTGGCGACCCGCGTGAGCCGCCGCGTGAGGTCGCTGCACCATCTCGCGTGAGACCTCGTGGGAAAAAACACACGAAACAAAACAAGCACACAAAAAACACACACACACACAAAACATTCACAACAAACACACAAAACATACAACAACACACACAGTGTGTTTTTTTGTTGGAAACCACAACAAACACACAGTGTGTGTGTGTGTGTGTGTTTTGTGTATGTGTGTGTGTGTGTTTTGTGTGTGTGTGTGTGAGTGTGTGTGTGTGTGTGTCTGTGTGTGTGTTTTTTCCCACTGGCTTTTCGTCGCCCAGATGGGGTCAGAGCCCAGGTGGGGTCGGAGTATCGCGCCTTGAGCAGTTCACGTCAGGACGTTTTCGGCCTCCGGGGGCCCATCGCCGGGCCCCGGGAATGCCAGGCGTTTTCGCCCAGCTCCGGGCCCAGGACCATCACAGATCGGTCCCGCTCGGGAAATGCCGCCGAGGGATGGGTCTGGGGCTCTGGTCGTGATTTCTCGAGCTGATCACTTTTTCTCGCGACGAGACCTGCTGCATGCGGCTGGTGTTGGCCCCACCGCCAAGTGCCTTCCTCGATATGTTGGCGCCTCCGGACACCGGATGACGGGCATGATATGAACGAGCCCCGTTACGCAGATTGGACCGTTCTCGCCAAGATGCGAGCTTCACACTTCCCCAGAAGGGACTCTCTGCGGTGCCATCAATCGTAGACCACCGTGAAAGCTTGCTGTCAGAAAACGGGCCTGGGGAACCAACCGGTCCCCGGGGAAGTCGAGAGGTCCAGAGGCTCATGCCGCGGAAAGCCGTGATGCCGGAGGTCTGGATCTTTTTCTTATTCTTCTTCGTCCTCAACCTCCTTCTTGGTTGTTTGTCTTGCTGTTCAAATGCGCGCTCGGGGTAGCCCTCATGAAGGGCAACGAAGCGCGTCTCTTCTCCTTTGCTGCATGCTTTTGCCGTCGCTTCCTGAATCGTCTGGCCTTCCCTTGTCCGCCCTTCTCTTGCTGGCCGGTGCCGGTACTCATCCTGGGCTATGCCGGTGTTCGCATGGAGCGGGCTGTCTGCTGACTGCAGGTGCGAGCGGTCATTGTAGATCAATTTTGCCACAGGTGTTGCTCGTGTGGCGCAGTGACCTCCAAAGGAACGCACTCCAACCAGGCTGTCCGCTTCAGATGCGCTGTTGCATGGCGTGCCCCTCTGGCTCCATCTGTCTCCCCGGCCAGGATTGCCGACAGGTCGACGCCGAAGATCGCACGATCATGGTCTCGAGCTCAAGTTTGGTAGGCGCAGGATCTTCGCAAGGATGACCTCCCCAGAGCCCCGAGTCATCAGGGGTATCCCGGGTCAGGGCTAACTCGGGGTCGTTTTTCGGGAATCCGAACCCGCGTTGCCCGGGGCCCAAGCTACCCCGGATAATTCGGGCGTCGAGAGCCCCGAATCATCAGGGGTATCCTGGGTCAGGGCTAACTCGGGGTTGTTTTTCGGGAATCCAAGCCCGAGTTGCCCCAGGCCCGAGCTACCTCGGATAGCTCGGGCGTCAAGAGCCCCGAATCATCAGGGGCAACCCGGGTCAGGGCTATCTCGGGGTCGTTGTTCGGGAATCCGAGCCCGAGTTACCCCCGACCCGAGCTACCCCGGACAACTCGGGCGTCGAGAGCCCCGAATCATCAGGGGTAGCCCAGGTCAGGGCTAACTCGGGGTCGTTGTTCGGGAATCCGAGCCCGAGTTACCCCGGGCCCGAGCTGCCCCGGACAACTCGGGCGCCCAAATGCCAAGTGTGGCCTGGCCCGGTTGCTGTGGTATCTCTGCGTGCCTCTGCAGCCCCAGGGGTGCGAGTGTGGCCGGGCGGCTGGGCGGGCAGGCTCGTGAGCGCGAGAGCGGCCACGGCGAGGCTGGCACGCGGCAGGTCTCCGTCTGTGCTGAGTGCGGCTGCCGAGAGGATCGACGAGATGCAGAATGCGGCGGCGAGCGAGGTGGGGGGGAAGTGAGAATGCTAATCAGCGGGCGAAGAACGGTATAACATCAACTTTTCCGCCGTCGGGGACGCCTGCCCATGGGTGGCTGGAAAGTTTATACCCCTACGTTGCCACCGTAAGGAGTAAACTTCCCAGCCGCCCTGGGACAGGCGCCCCCGACAGCGAAAAAGTTTGTTTTCTACCGTTCTTCGCCCGTTAAGCTAAGGCTTTCCCAGAAGGCGGCGGGACTTCTCAGAAGCCCTCGCGCCCTCTGAGAAGCTGTTGGTGTCTTCGGGGGAGGCTTAGAAAACTTCTCGGTAGGCAATGGGAATCCAGATTCTTCTGAGAAGGCCTTCTCCTTCTCACTTCCCCCCCTCGCTCGCAGCCAAAGAATGGTCTCGACTTGTCCGCATTGTGCTGCAAGGACCTGAGCGGTGTGCAGCGGGGTCACGCCTAGGCTGCCGTCCGCACCAACCGGTCCACCAAGCGGCCAGCTATTCCTTGGTATGCTCGTACCGGGCCCTTCGTCGGTCTCCAGACCACACCGTGTTGCCTGAAGTCTTCGATGATCCTGCCATCTATGTTGGCGTACGTTGCGATACCAGTGGAGGTGTGACGACCGACGTCGCGCCCATGCGTAGCTGCGAACTAATTGTGCTCGACGGTATTGGCCTAGGTATCTGGAAGCTTCCTTATTCGATGACTCTGTTGTCGCGCTGTCCTGCTATTTGCGCTGCTGGGCATCAATCGCATGAGCTTTGCCAGCTTACGCTAGACTCAGCCGCCGCGTGTTTCTTTCTGTTGCATCTTCTGCCACCACTCCTCTCTGTCGTTTCCTCATCGTGCTGCCGCTTACTGCACTCATCGGGGTCCCTGCTTCCCCTGCCTTTCTGTGCACCTGAGGCATGCGTGCCTGTAGCGAGCCAGCAATATTTGGGAATGGGGAAGAAGGCAGCAGGCGATACATCGCAGAAGCAAGAGAGTCAGCAGTGTGGGAATGCATCGCCAGGAATTCCTTGCCACGGTCCGTCGCGGTCCCCCCCCTGCCTGCGGCTCCGGCGCCACAGGAGTTGACAGTGAAGGAGATCCGCGAAAGCAACCCCAGCAAGGTCGCCGCCATTGCAGGGCGAAGGTTTGATCGCTTTTGCCTAAGCCGTCTGTTCCCAGAACGGGCTTGGTCTCAGGTGGAGGTGGAGGAGGAGGTTGAGGTGGAGGCGGAGGCGGAGGAGGTGGAGGAGGAGGAGGAGGAGGTGGAGGTGGAGGAGGAGGTGAGGTGGAGGGGAGGCGGAGGAGTGGAAGGAGGAGGAGAGGGATGGAGGAGGAGGGAGGAGGAGGAGGAGGAGGAGGAGGAGGAGCCCCTCCCCCTCCAGCCTCTGGCTGTGGTGGTGGAAGCCAGGCCCACCACTGGAGGACCCATGGCTCGTCGGGGAGGACACCGCACAGGAGAGAGCCCGCGCGTGCCCGCTCGAGGGCGGCGGGCCCCGCGCGCAGACTCCTCGGGGCTCGGAGGTCCCAGCCCCTCCTCCTCCTCCTCCTCCTCCTCCTCCTCCTCCTCCTCCTCCTCCTCCCCCTCCTCCTCCTCCTCCTCCTGTTTCCTCCTCCTCCTCCTCCTCTCCTTCCTCCACCTCCCTCCTCCTCCTCCTCCTCCTCCTCGTCCTCCTCCTCCTCCTCCCTCCTCCCTCCTCCCTCCTCCGGCTGGCGTATCAGGCGCAAGGCTTGTGGGTCAGCTGGCGAGAGGAGCCAACATTTCTCAGGGTGTCGGAGTCCCAACCCCGAGGGACGCGGCACGAGCGCCGCGAGGGATGGCGACGCGATGTCAATGAGTTACATCGCAATGCTGGCCAGCGGGGTATTCGTGATAACGTTATTGATGGTGGGTATAGCGTAGTACAATCCTCAACATGCGTGGGGAGAACGATGCGAAGACATAAGTAGAGAGTTAATGACGTGGTAAATAATTACACTGACGGGGACAAAACGACGGGCCGACTGGGAGCATCCAGCTACGACACAACAACTATCTCATCACTGGGCAATACATTGTGGCTGGAGACGAAGTGGATGGGTGAACAACAATTGTGGAATCAGTTTCCTTATTTCAAATGACATACCACGGACATGCTTACATCAGGTACATCACCCACCACTAGGACTACGAGGGCGTGCGGCAGCTCCCAGGCTGACACAACACAGGATGGACATATTGCTAATCGGCACCTGCTTTGCACCGATGGGCAGAAAGAGCACAGAGGAGCTGGCGATGAGAATTTCTTCATGGGTTGAGCATATTTGTGACAAGCATGGCAGGATCACTACAATCATTTGGTGTGCGGACTGCAATTCAGATTTTGGATTGCAAAGAGGACCGACGGGCACTATTGAGCTCACGAAGGGAAGCGCGATCCGCGGTCAAGACCCAAAGCTAGAGAACAGCAGCGGCAAGGACATTCGTCAGACATGTCATAGTACACATTTACGAATACAGATTACATTTATGCCTGAGTTCGGATCCACGTATTTCGGCGAGAAAAGCAAGAGCAGGATATACCATATTATTATTCCAGACGGAGCCGCAGGAGCGGTCCGAGAATGTCGTACTCTTCCTGTTGCAGGACGACGGCTACAACCCATCCGGCACCGTGAAAGGCGAGACCACATTCCATTAGCGCTGGTGATCGACTGCAACACGGATTTACGAGGACACCGCTGGCCAACGAGAGTGAACCGAGATGCTATTCTGAAGTGTTTGCGTACAGGGGTGGACCGGGAACAACTATTTCGCAATATCGAAGACTTGCAGAAAGAGATAAACGAAGATACCTGGCAGCGAGCAAAGTCAAAACACACGCCTGACGAGATGTGGGGCAACTTGCGGACCGCAGTTACCAAGGCAATGGAGGAGGTCTTCCCGCAGAGGGGGCGAAGACTACGCCAGCATGGCTGGAAGCGGCAACCAGCCACCGAATGCAACTGCTAGACGAACGGCGGCAGATCAGGGAGCGCATGGGGGCCTGTGAGGATGAGGAGCACGAGGCGATCCACATGAAGCTGAAGGGGCTCTCCGCGACGCTGAAGCCAGAGAGGGAAGCCCGAGAAAGACGCAGAAAGGGAGAACCAGTGGAAGCCATATGCCAAGCGGCAGACCAGAGGAACTTTGCAGAACTACGTGCCCTTCGCTGTCAATATAGCGGTACGGGGCGAGGACCACGGAAGCGATATTTCTATTCACCGCGAACAAATCCAACAGCATGTGAATGGGGAAGCGAATTACAGAAAGAGGGAAAGGAAGGTGGATTGAAGGCAGAGACGATAAATTACGCGCAGGTGAAAGCAGAGTACTGCGAGACAGTGGAGAACGACGGCGAGGGCGACGCGCGATTCATTGATGCAGAGCTGATGGAGGACGTCCGAGAAGGTCGCAAAGCACGAGTACGATATCCACGACGCACATGCAAAAAGGATAGCATATCCAACACGGGGCCTTCCCAGCGAGATGGCACTGCTCATCGAGAAGCCGCTTGGGAACATAGCGGATCACAATGAAGTTGGCGATCGAGTCGCCGCACGACTACAACGAGTTGCGGAAGCAGAGGAGGAGGAAGACAGGCTGCAGACTGACAGGGGCCGCTCGCTTTTAATGACGATGGGATGGAGACCAGGTTCAGCACTCGGAGCAGATCCCGATGGCACACCAGCTGAAGTTGTTTCACCAGATTTATGGATTTTCAGGCGACACTTCAGAGCAGGAGTCGGCACCGAGGAGATGAGTTGCGAAGCGCAGTCATTTCAGAGAAGATACGCTGAATTCATGGTTAAGGTACGTGCGTGTGAAGCTGTCCCGGTTGATTGCCTGCGAGCTTCTTCGTTCAGTATGGACAAGGGAAACGGCGCAGAATGCATCTTGGGCAGACGGGTGATGCATTGCTACTGCGCATGGTCAATGGGATTTCACAGCGGGATCCACAAGCGTGCACCTCTCAGAGAAAGACCCTACTGGGCGCACGGCGGACTGGCTAAGAAATGCAGAGAAGATGCACTGACAACCACTGTGAGTTGCAGATGGCGAATATTAGCACTGGGCCACAGTCATTTTACGACGAACTTTGACTGCACGAATGCGTTTGGCTGCGCGGGCCGTTCAAAGCTAGAGGAGATCGCGCGGACACCGAGCCACGAGAAAGACATTCCGTTCGCAGTGGGGGCCATTGAACACGCCTCGATGATGATCAAGGGCAGCGACGATGAGATCAGTCTTATGCCAAACAGCGGAAGCCATATGGGTTTCTGTCTTGCCCCGCGCGACTTCAATGACTGCTACGACCCACTGGTTGAGAATTGGAATCAGAGCCTCATGAAGCAGGACTGTACTTACGGCTTGCTACACGCACGGGGTCCGACGATGAAGCAAGGAGAGGAGGTGGATATTGGCCTGGCGACATTTATGGATGATGCGACTCGCGCGCATGCGCGGCTTGGGGCACCGAGTTTGCAGGGGGCATCTCTAAGATTAGTTGCGCCGCCAGGTCGCTCGAAGACCGCGTAGCGAAGGGCGGGCGCATGCTGAACGCGGGGGGAACTCGCCATCTAGTGAGTCTTCGGTGTATCGGGGCCCAAGCGACCACCAGGAAGCTCCAGAAGAAATCGAACGGGGCCCAGGGAGAAACCCAACAACACATGCGAATGCTTGGGCCCTACTTGGATTCGGACGGCCCCATCGCCGATGGAATCAGGGGGAGGGGGGAAGCGATGCACCGAGCTTGGAGAGAGGGAGGTTGTTTCTGGAAGGCCAAGGAGTTGAAGAAGACAAAGCGTTTGATGATTCAGAGTCTGGTCCAGGGCGCAGGGCTGTCGGGGATGGCGACGGTGATTCTTGAGAAGCAGCGCAGCGCATTTCTGAATAAAATCATGGTGAAGCTGATGAGGAGCCTGGCGGGAGGAAACTGTAGTTGGATCACGCCCGAGGGGAAAACGAAATCGATGAACAGCTTCGAGGTTTTCGGGTTCAGGGACATAAATGATACTGAGACAGAGCTTTTCATACGACGGTTGAAGAGATATTCGAGCTGGGGGCGGTTTCCTGAGGCCGCTAAACATGTGCTTGTAGCTGTCTATGGTAACACGTTGATGGAGGAGTGTGTGTGTGGTGTGTGTGTGTGTGTGTGTGTGTGTGTGTGAGTTGGTGTGTGTGTGTGTGTGTGTGTGTGTGTGTGTGTGTGTGTGTGTGTGTGTGTGTGTGTGTGTGTGTGTGTGTGTGTGTGTGTGTGGGGGGGTCTCTTGTCTTGATTCGCTCAGCAGGGTTTGCCGCGCAGCATGTCGTGGCCTTGCAATTCAGTCCGATCTTCGCATGCTGGCGGCACTCTCGGACGATTTCTGTGAATGGGTACCCAGACAACGGCCGCGATTGGCTGCTGTTCGTCGACGGGACCGAGGAAACTAAACGCTGGCGCATGACAGATGTGCTCATCGTTCGCTCCCTCTCACGTCATGGGGGGGGGGGGGGGGGGGGGGGGGGGGGGGGGGGGGGGGGCAAAGGAAGGAGGGCGTGCTCATATCGGAGGAGGAGGTAACAGATCACATGGGCAAAAAGTTCATATGCAACATGGGGGTCGACAACGAGGGGGTGGAGGTTGAGCGCGGGAAGGCGCACGCACCAGGCAGCGCACTAGCGGCACATCAACAACAAGCCCACAGATGTAGGTCGGTCTTGGGACTCTTGACAAGAACGAATCAACGCCCATGGTGTAGGACTATATTTGCAAGCAGGCAAGTGGCAGTGGATCATGTGATGGCGGCAACGGAAGATGCAAGCAAGACGTGCTATGTAAACTTCGGGGCATGGGAGCACGAGTTAATCGTGCCAGAGAACCTCCATTGCTCGCCCTGCAGCCATCTCGATCGAGATCTAGAAGACTCTCAGAACCATGCGGTCACCCACCACCCAGGCCCTGAGGGCGTTCGTATTTCTCAGCACGGCGGCGATTGCGACACTCCCGTCCTGGAGGGCGCCGAGGAGAGGGGCAGGCGCAGCAGCCAGCGGCCAGAAGGGCAAGGGAGACAAACAAGTCCAACGGAGCACTCATGGAGAACATAACCAGCCTGCAGCGCCCCGCCCTAATGCAGGACGCCCAAGGCCGCGAGCTGGCAGCGGACATGTTCGACTTCTGGCCCGCCCCGAGCAAGTCGAACCATGTGAAGATGGGAAAGGAAGCAGTCAGCGACAACCAGAACCAGGTGAAGATCAGGGGGAAAGGCAGCGGTATGGGACCACCAATTCTGCAGGTGGAAATGGAGATGATGAAGGCAATGCAAGCAGAGCTCAAGGATTCGCCTCACGAGAAGAAGAAGTGGCTGGAGCTAGCGAACCGCGAGGAGAAGGGCCAGACAGTGGTGAGCTAGACTTTCTCTGTGTGCAGGCTGAAGGACGCTTGCCAGAATGGCGACAGCAGACCAGAGGAGAGGATGACCAAGGTGAAGGTGAACTTCAACAAATGGGCCGACTTTACAGATTTCGACAAGGAGGATTTGGACCCTCCAACGATCGAGGAGATGCGCCAGGCGTTTCTGGAGGGAACGGAGAAGGCAGGCGCGGAGAAGACCAGCGGCCAGGCACCGAAACCCGAGCTTGTGAGAGTGGCAGAGAGAAAGTAGTGAGCGAATCTCGAGTAAGGGAGCGACTTAGCAATGAGCAGCAGCAGTACAGCAGCAGTAGCAGCATGAGTAGAGCGCAGAGCTGCCAGCCTATTCAGTACTCCCTTGTCTCTCCCGTAGAGCCTCCGCACCTCTCCCACTCGTCCCCTTCCAAGCAGATACCTCCAGCGAGTGCTATCATTGCTCAGCAGGCCGCGAACGGTCCAAGTGTTCGAGACCGCCTGGAGAGAATGGCAGCAGCAGGTAGCAGTAACGCCAGAGAAATGCTAGATGTAGCATACAGTTTGTTGCGTCGTCCTCCACCCCGCGCCCCCTAAGGTGGTAGGTGAGTGGAGGCATAGGCTCAGAGAGGTTTGTGCGGTGGGAACATGCGTATGCATCCCTGCCGACGGTTCACAGGCGAGGGTGATTCGGAATGCTCACGTCTGCGAGCCAGGCTGCGATTCAGAGTCTGGCAGCCCCTCTTCGCATACAATAGCCACGCAAGGGGGCACTGCATATCGGCTGACTAGCCATTCCATATGCTCGAGGGCAGAGCCAGAGAGGACGCCCGCCCCCCCAGCGCTCCATCCATCCATCCATCAATCCATCCATCCCTCCTCCCTCCTCCCTCCTCCCTCCTCCCTCCTCCTCCTCCTTCTCCCTCTCCTCCTCCCCTCCCCCTCCTCCCTCCTCCTTCCTCCCTCCTCCTCCTCCTTTTCCCTCTCCTCCTCCCTCCTCCCTCCTTCCTCCTCCCTCCTCCCTCCTCCTCCTCCTTCCTCCTCCTCTTCCTCCTTTCTCCCTCCTCCTCTTCCTCCTCCTCCATCCTCCTCCCTCCTCCTCCCTCCAGGCAGGCCCCCGGACATCCCGCCCGGAGAGCAATCACCAGAGACAAAAGTAGCACGACCACCAGCTAGAGGGGTGACAACTCGACTAGGCGTAAGAGTGATCTTTCGCTGGAGTGACCTCTGGTGCGGGCACAGATGGGTCCCTGGATGGCTGAAAACGAGGCAGTCGCAGCTGCTTGTGCGCCCAAGTCTGGTCCCCCCGCGGTTCCCAAAAAAGTCGCGCACCAAAGGTCCTTCTTACCCAGGGTGAATTCTGCGTGTAGCCGAACTGTCCCACCCTCTGGTGGCACCTCATTCTGGGCATGCCTCCAGAGAGTTCCCCGAGGGAGGTGCCACCAGCTCGAGGGGAGGGAGCGGCCATCCCCCCAAGCTGGTGGCAGCGGTACTTTTGTCTCTCCAGGCTATGTCGGGCATGTCCTTCTACAGGAGGAGTATCCAAGAATCGTCAAAAAGGTAGTCTGGGGACGATCCTTCTGGTATTGCTGCTCATGTTTGGACAATTGTGTTGGAGTCTTCGCCCAAAACCCGCCAATAGGAGGACATGCCCGACCTAACCCTGGGAGCGCGGACCCTGCGCACTTTGCGAGGGTCCTGACCCTGGGAGCGCGGGCGCAGCGTCAGCTGCTTGGGATCGTGGCCCTGGGAACGTGAGCGCTGCGTAACTCACGGGGGGTCGTGGTCCTGGGAACGTGGGCCCGGTGTCACTTCGTCGGGGCCGTTGCAGGGGGGAGCGCGGACGCAGCGTACTCTTAGAAGGGAGTGAGGCCGTGGGACCGCGGCTGCAGCACAGTACGACGGCTCGTGGCTTTGGGAGCGTGGACCCATTGTAGTTTGCAAGGGTCGTGGCATTGGGGGCGCGTGCCGATCGTAATGTACACAGGCTCGCGGCCCTGGGAGAGCAGATCCCTCGTCAGGAGACGCCGTGGGGTCTTGAGCCGACACGTATTCGGCTCGTCCCTGTCTCGATTCGGCATGTCTGGATCCGTTCGGTTTCGGTTCGGTCCTACTCTCGGCTCGTACTGCTTCACCTCGTCAAGTTGATTGCGCCTCAGCTAGCTGCGTTTAGGTTCATCGGTTCTCGGAGCTTTTCTTATCGGTTCGGATTCGCCCCCTCTTGGTTCTCCCCGTTTCAAAGTTACATCGGATCTTGAACTCGAGCTGGTTGAGAGTTCTGCACATTTCGATTGCGGCCAGCTCTGCGTCAGCCATTCGTTCCGTCATTTCGGTATTAAGATCTGGGTTAGTTCAGTCAGGAGTCGGACGCCAAGGACAACTCGAGCCACAACCTAGTAGAGTACCATACAGTTCAGCACAGTATGATGCAGCACAGTTCAGCACAGTAGCACAGCACAACCCCTGGGACGATATCATCACCATCGACATCTTCAGCACCGCCAGTGCCCATCGCCCAATGGAGGTATTTGGAACGTTCCCGTGCCTTGCAGTTCTAAATCTCGTCCGGCTTCGTGGGGCGATCATGTCAGGCCTCCTCTTTTCTCGATTGAAGCTTGCGTTGCCGTCTTCCAGTTCCTCCCCTGTCTCTTTGCCGTCGCTTGATCGCGTGCTTTGCTGACCATGGGTCTTTCGGCCCTGATCTCTCCGTGCTCCTCGCCGCTCGCACCCTGCAGCCCAGCGCGGACACTGGCGAAGGCTGTCGGCCAGCTGCGTCTCGAGCGAAACCGCGGGACTTCTGTTCGGGCAGCGACGGAGCACGGAAGTTCGGGTGTTAGCCTTGGGAGGTATCGGCGCTGGTATATCTTCGAGCGAAGGCCGGCGCAGTCCAGCAGCATTCTCGCTAGTGCGGCGTCGTCCAGCCTCATTGGGGTGGACCCCCCGCTTCAGATGGCCCAATCTCCGAGGCGGGATTTTGTCCATATCCACCGCCTGGAGGCTCAGTTTTCGGAGCCTCGGCAGGCGGTGGGTATGGACATATTCGGGCCCCCGGGGGCCGAAATATATCCATATCCACCGCCCGCTGGGGCACCATCTGGGCCTCCTGGATGGGGTCGAAGTAGATGGGGTCGGAGGATCGTGCCGCATCGCCGATGCATCGGTGATGCATCGGCGATGCATCGGCGATGCGTCTCGATGTGGGGCCCACTTTTCTCCACGCCGACGTCGCCGATGCATCGCCGACATCGGCAGTGCATCGCCGATGCATCGCCAATGCATCGGCGATGCACTGCCGATGTATCGGCGATGCGGCGCGATCCTTCGACCTCATCTACTCCGACCCCATCTAGGAGGCCTCTACACCAGGACGTCGGTTCCCAGGCGGTGGATATGGATAAATCCCCGCCTCGCACAATCGGGCTCAGGGATCCCTTCCTCGGGCTCTGAGCCGCCCCTCCTCGTTCCTGCCGAGGCCTCCCCGGGAGCCGCCTCCTTGGAGGTGGAGGCGCGGGGAGGGAGGGCGCGAGGCGGCGCCGAGGGCGGCCGCCGCCGAGGTCTGGGCGGTCACGAAGCTGACGTCCCGCGAGGGGGCGGTCCAGCGCATGTCGCTGAGCGAGACCCGCGCAGGACGCGGCAGCGAGGCCGCCGTCGCTGCCGCCGCGGCGCCCTCGGGCTTGCTCGGCCCAGAGGGGATCGGCGGCGGGCCGGGGGGGGGGGAGCGACCCTGACCTTCCAGAGTGCTAAAAAATAGCACTCCAGACCTATAGATCTATCTGGACCGCCTCAAACCTCGACAGGAATTAGGACGTCGACGTTTTGGTTCTATTTTTGAGCCCTCCTGGAAGGTCAGGGAGCGAGGGACGGGGGGGGGGCACGCGGCGGGCCTTCTCGGGGGGCCCTTCGTGGCCTTCGGAGAGGCCGCCTGTGGCCTCGGAGGACGGCAGGCGCGGCCTCCTCGCAGGAGGCGCGAGGGCTGCCGAGGGGCCTTGCCGCCTCTCGCAGAGGCCTGCCCCCTCTCGCACCTCCTCCTGCGCCCCTGGCATTCAAGGGCTGCGCGCTGGGTGGGCGCCCGGCGCTTCTGGGGCGAGCTCGCGGCCTGTCGCGGGCAGCGAAGCCCATGCGTGCGACGTCGTGCTCCGCTCCCAGGGAGGGCTCGGGCCGAGGGCTCCCCTCCGGCAGCGCGTGCAGCTCCTCCCTGGTGCCGTGCTCGAGGTGCTCAGGGCGGCATTATCCTCCTCCTCCTCCTCCTCCTCCTCCTCCTCCTCCTCCTCCTCCTCCTCCTCCCCGTCCTCCCCCTCCTCCCCCTCCTCCCCGTACTCCCCGTCCTCCCCCTCCTCCCCCTCCTCCAGCGCAACTGTCCTTGCGAGGGGTGTGCCGCGAGGCGCGCACCAGTGCACGTCCTCCGGCACGTCCCCTGACGTGTCCCGTGCCGCGTCACTTGGCACGTCCCGTGAGGCGTTGCTTGGCACGTCCTCGTCCTCGTCCTGCGGTCTTCACCACCCACCAAACCACCCCAACCCAACCCGAAGGCCCACATTTATCCTCGATTTCCAGTGTGGGGGGGTCGGGGAACATTGAAAAAACACATGGAACCCGTACCCCCCCCAACCCGAAATTCGGGTCAAATTCGGGTCTTCTGGTTGGGTTGGGGTGGTCTGGTAGGTAGTCAGGTCCGTCCTCTGGCGCGCCCCTTAGCGCGTCCCCTGGGCCCCTGGCTGCTTCCCTGTTGCGCGTCGCCTGCTCCGTCGCCTGGCGCGTCTCCCGGCGCGTCCCACGGCACGGTCCTCGGCGTGTCCCTTGAAGCGTCCCCGTGCACGTCCCCTGGTACAGTCGGCCTTGTTTAGTAGGTCGACCATGTCAAATCGAGGGCACCCTTGTGTCCTGTCTATCCCGACCTATGCAACCCGCATGTCCTTTGATGTTCTGGGGCCACGTTGCCGTCGGAAGAGTATTCTGTCCCCTCGGGTGTCCTGTCCAATGAAATCTGATTGTGCTTCCCCTGGCACATTCCAGGGCGCGTCCCTTGGAACTGGAACTTTCCCGTGCAGGTCCCCCGACTCGCCCCCGGCACGTCCCCTCAAACGTCCCGTGGCGCCTTCTCTCGCACGTCCCCTGGCTCGTCCCTCCCCATTCCCTTGCGCGTTCCGTGGCGCGTCCCTTGGCGCATCCCCCTGACACGTCCCTTTGCAATCGTTGTTTCTATGGCCAGGTTGGGCACACTTGTTTCTTTTCGTCAGAGACACGGGGCTTGCTGATAGGCGACAATGAGAGGACGCAGAGGCTACGTTGCGCGAGGCAAGGATGAGGAGGATGAGGAGAGCGACGACGACGCCGACGACGACGACGAGGCTTGGGAGGCACCACGCAGGCTTGGCAGATCTACATCCCGTTTTCCCGGAAAGGGCTTCGGCCCAGGGTTCTCTGTAGGTGGTAAATGTAGGGCCAGGTTTTTATATTTGCGACGGGCCAGTCAATTTCTTTTGCGATACATGACGAGTTCGCGATAAAATGAGGATGTCCCTAGCGAAGCGCTGTTAAAACGAAATCGCGTCTCGATAAATCACAGGGTGCGGGACACATATGGGTCAGGGACTCGATTCCGTGTGTGTGTTTTTACATGTGCTCCCATAGATTGGCCTTCTCCAGGGGCACGAATCCGTTTGTTTTTTCTTATGTTCCTATCGATTGGCCCTCTCCAGGAGGCCCCACGAGGGCCCAGGTCACCCAGGGGGGTATCTACCATGGTTGTCCCGAGCTGGAACCTAGTGCTTTTACGTGTCCAGGCCACCCAGGAGGGTATCGAACATGATTCTCCTGAACTAGAACCACGTTTTTTAGGTGTCCAGGCCACTCAGGGTTGTATCTAACATGATTGATCCGAGCAAGGACCACGTGTCTGAACATGTCCAGGCCACTCAGGGGTGTATCTGACATGGTTGCCCAAAGCTGGCACCACGTGTTTTTACGTGTCCAGGCCACCCAGGGGGGTATCTAACACGGTTGTCCCGAGCAAGGACCGCGTGTTTTAATTTGTCTTGGCCACTCAGGGGTGTATCTAGCGTGGTTGCCCAGAGTTGGCACCACGTGATTCTCGCGTGTCCAGGCCACCCAGGGGGGCATCTAACATGATTGTCCCGAGCAAGGACCACGTGTTTTAACGTGTCCAGGCCACCCAGGGGTGTATCTAACATGGTTGCCCAGAGCTTGTCCCACGTGTTTTTACGTGTCCAGGCCACCCAGTGGGGTGTCTAACATGATAGTCCCGAAGTGGAACCCTATGTTTTTACGTGTCCAGGCCGCCCAGGAGGGTATCTAACATGGCTTCGGGCCCAACGCCGAATTACCAGGAAACGCACGGAGCGCCGAAAAGTGCTACCCGAACACTGATCACAAGACAGAAACGTTATGCTATCTGTCTCTGGACGCGGGGGGGGGCGCGTTGGGGGCCTCTCCAGGGAAGACATTGCGAGGATGTCTCGAGCGGGAGCGCGAATTCAGCGTATCCCGCCACGCAAGTTGGTATCTAACATGGTTGTCCCGAGCAAGGGCCACGTGTTTTAACGTGTCCAGCAGGCCACCAGGGGGTGTATCTAACATGGCTGTCCAGAGCTTGTCCCACGTGTTGTTACGTGTCCAGGCCACCCAGTGGGGTATCTAACATGATTGTCCCGAGCTGGAACCATGTGTTTTCACGTGTCCAGGCCCCTCTGGGGGACCTCAAGCTTTGTATCTACCATGGTTGTTCCGAGCTGGCGCCACGTGCTTTTGCGTATCCAGGCCACCCAGGGGGTTATCTAACATGGATGTCCCAAGCCAGCACCACGTACTTTAACGTGTCCAGGCCACCCAGGGGTGTATATATCATGGTTGCCCAGAGCTTGTCCCACGTGTTTTTTCGTGTCCAGGCCACCCATGGGGGTATCTAACATGATTGTTTCGAGCTGGAACCATGTGTTTTCACGTGTCCAGGCCATTCAGGGTTGTATCTAACATGGTTGTTCCGAGCTGGCACCACGTGTTTTTACGTATCCAGGCCACCCAGGGGGGTATCTAACATGGATGTCCCAAGCCAGCACCACGTACTTTAACGTGTCCAGGCCACCCAGGGGTGTATATATCATGGTTGCCCAGAACTTGTCCCACGTGTTTTTTCGTGTCCAGGCCACCCATGGGGGTATCTAACATGATTGTTTCGAGTTGGAACTACTTGGTTTTACGTGCCCAGGCCCCTCTGGGGGACCTCAAGCTCCTTCTCTTACGTATATTCATCTTCTTTTCAAGAGCTTCTGAGCCTGAGCTATGCATTCAGACAGCTCGAGCTTAAGATCTAAATCAGTTCGGTCAGGATTCTGACGCCAAGGACGGCTTGATCCACAATGCAATAGCGCACGGCACAGTTCAACGCGGCATGACACATTTGAATTCAGCACAGCAGGGCGCAGCACAGTATAAACCTTGACACGGTACATCACCAGCGTTGTTTTGAGCATTGCAATTGACCGTCGCCCAAGTTTGGTTCAACCAGTTCGAGTTATGAGTTGCGCGTTCATGCAGTTCGAGCTTAGGATCTAGATCAGTTCGGCCAGGAGTCGGGTGCCAAGGACGACTTGATACACAACGTAACCCCATGCCCACGATAATAATGTACCCCCCCCCTTAAGTCGTTAGGGTCGACCAATAAGAGTTTGGTCGGGGGCGCGGGGCGCGGAGGCCAAACTTCATTATCACCTCGGAACGTTATGTTGAGATAGCAAGATCAAGCTATGTTGAAATAGCAACATCAAGCGAAGCGATCACACTTTTTTCAGGATGTCTTAAGCGAAACCAGAGATTTTGGGAGGCAGGCTCAAACGAAACGAGCAACGTTTCAAGGATGTCTCAAGCGAAACCAGTAATTCTGCGAGGATGTCTCAAGCGATTCGGGAAGCTTGTCGAGGATGTCTCAAGCGAAACAAGCATATACTCGAGGATGTCTCGAGCGATTCGAGAAGCTTGCCGAGGATGTCCCAAGCGAAACAAGCATATACTCGAGGATGTCTCAAGCGAAACAAGCATATACTGAAGGATGTCTCAAGCGAAACGATACGTTTCTTAAGGATGTCTCAAGCGAACACAACAATTCTGTGAGGATGTCTCAAGCGAAACCAAGAATTTTGGGGGGCAGGCTCAAACGAAACGAGCAATGTTTCAAGGATGTCTCAAGCGAAACCAGCAATTCTGCGAGGATGTCTCAAGCGATTCGGGAAGCTTGTCGAGGATGTCTCAAGCGAAACAAGCATATACTCGAGGATTGCTCTTTTTTTTCCTCTTCTCTTCCCCTTCTTTTTTCTGAATTTATATTTTTATGTCTGTATATATTTCTTTTTGTCTTTCTTTTTTTCCTCTCTCTCCCCATGCCCCCCTGAAATTGTTTATCCCTGGGGTTGGTTATCCATGGCAAGTGAGGCACATGAGATACCATACACGAGCACTCAAAAAAATCTATTTTCAGAAAGCGCTTGTAAATTAAATCTAATAGATTTGGAACTTGAAATTTTTGCTGTTCCTCTTCCTCTTCTCTTCTCCTTCTTTTTTTCTTAATTTATATTTTTATTTCTTTATATATTTCTTTATTTCTTTTTTTTTTCCCT